CATATAACCTTGGCATTGTTGAATGTACTTGTAGTCGTAGGTATGGAATCAGAAAACAGCTGTAGGCCTATTTATTGTATCAAAACAGATGAATGTTCTTTAAATCAATATTCAACAAAATTAATATGATATGCTGATGTTGAACTAACAATGTTAACAATTCTAAGCGTATTATAACCAACTCAATACTCAAATTAGTTTTCTTTCCTGCGTGGTAGGTCATTTATTGTTTTGTATTGTTGCACGACGATAATAAAATATCTTAGTTATTTAAATGACAATAATTTGTTAATGAAACAGACACATGTTGTTTAAATTCTAATAAGTGGAGAGAAAGAATGGGTCTGAAGAACGCACCAAAGCGAAAACATATTATTTTAATTATTACTTTTTGATTAATGAATTATTATTTCATTATTTTAACGAATGCTAAGTCTTTAATGGATTGGGCAGCTATTGTAAACCTTGAGCTTAACACCTACGAACACACTTTGATACAGTACATCTAAAAAGAAAAGTAAAAAATTATTTCATTATTTTAATGAATGCTATTCGTTAAAAAAAAAAGGGGGGGGGGAAAACAAGTCTTTAATGGAGTACAGTACATCTAAAAAGAAAGTCAAAAATGACTTTTTGATTAATTAATTATTATTTCATTATTTTAATGAATGCTATTCGTTAAAGAACCAACAAACAAACAAACAAAAAAAAGTCTTTAATGAGTTAGTAACCTAATTGTAGACCTAGAGCTTAAAACTTACGAACACACTTTGACATCTAAAAAGAAAGTCAAAAATGACCACCAAGCACTGAGAGACTGTAAATGAACACGGAAAGAAGAGCAACGACGTGAATGGTATGTAAATTTCAAATCACACGTTGGAAGTGGAAAAAAATTTTTTTTTTTTTAAATACTGAGAATGAGAATGTTTACATTTTAATCAGTAGGCCTAATCTACTCAGCCTGTCGTGATTCGGAAAAACGCAATTTATTCAATTTTGAAATTTTGGCTTAGGGGCACCCTGTGGATGTAATCTATCATGGAACGTGATCATATACTCCAAACAATTTTTTGAAATATATAATTATTATGAGAATTACGCATTATATTCGACCGTCCACCAACTAAGCATTGAAATGTTGGCAATCAACCGATCACGTAAGAAGTTTATGCATAATTAATTGCTTTCCCAGCTGGTGGCGGTACAATAAAAATGCATTATTTTTTTTAATTTTTTTAAATTAATTTTAGAACTGCATTATTAACAAGATTATTAGGTTAATCATTCCACGTCGGCGCGTGCACTGAAAACGTATTTTTTTTAAATTTATTTATTTTATTGAAATTGGATTTAACATTTAACACGATGGCGTGTATTTCAATACTTGGAGTATGTATTATACTTTCTTATCTGGATTTAACTTATTTATAATGATTTTGATAAACAATCACAATTCTCTGTACTATATATTAAACATTTAAAGAATGGACTTCCTTATGTTGTGGTCATATTAGACTGTAATATTTTTAAAGAAGACCATTCAACAAACAACATAAAACAAAATTCCCACGTCGGTGCATGCATAAAATGTATAATTTCCTGAAATTGGATACAGAGCGGACTTTCGTATGATTTAGGCCTAAGGAAATATAAATGTATATGGGTCTGAGCTTTGTATATGGTGACAACGTGTTCTCCCTTATGTTGTGGTCATATTAGAATATAATATTAAAGACCATTCAACAAATAACATGAAACATATATCAAACCTTTAGGTTAAACTTTCCGCTTCCAAACATGCATATAACGTCATTTTTTAGACATGATATTTTCATGACAGTCGAGAAAGTACTGATTATATAAATAGACAGGCCTTATTACTGTTGTCCGATTGTGTGCATTGGAAAATGTGACGTCGAACTCGGGATACGGGCCTCTGTTGACACTCATATCAAAGGGCCTGTTAATTAACCTTGCACAGGAGCCTGTCGTCACCTGCTACGATGCCTCCTTCTCCTCCTTATCTTCATCAAATCATCATCATTATCGTCTTCATCATCGCAATTATTAGTTGTCCAAGGTAAAATGGGTGAAAACTATGAATTCAGTGTGTATTCCTTCATCAATTAATGCACGTGAATGCATTTCACAGCATCTAGAAAACAAAACTTTCCGAAGCTAGAAGAACCTTAAAACTACCGCAAACCACCCCTCTCCCCCCAGCCCCACGTCTATAATAGTCTTCCAGCGACGAAACAAGCAAACATTACGTTCTCTTCCCATGACCCTGCCCACTCAGGGACCCTATATGTGCGATAGTCAGGGTAAAGCTCGGTTTCCACAGAATCGCTCACCTTGTCGGCGACTGTCGCCGATAAATTTTTGTCGCCGATAAATTTTAATAATTTAAACCCAGGTTGGATCATATTCATCCAACATTATTATTTTCCATTTGACAGAACAACCACAAATGTAGGAACTTGGCAATAGTAAAACCCACCCATCCTGGCTTTTCGCGTCAGTAATGCATAGAAATAAATACCAAGTTAAAAACTTTGTTGTTTTATTTTTATTTATAAAATCAAAAACACCATTTTGTATGTATAAAAGCAACATACGGCTGAATTCGTTATGTAAATAAAATAAAAAATTAAAAAAAAGTTTGAATGAGAAGCTGTCAATATAAAAGCAACATACGACTGAATTCGTTATGTAAATAAAATTTTAGAACCACATTATTAACAAGATTATTAGGTTAATCATTCCACGTCGGCGTGAGCACAGAAAACGTTTTTTTGTTTTTTTTTTGTTTTTTTTTTATTGTAATTGGATTTAACATGTGTATAATGATTTTGATAAACAATCATAATTCTCTGTACTATCTATTAAACATTTAAAGAATGGACTTTCTTATGTTGTGGTCATATTAGACTGTAATATTTTTAAAGAAGACCATTCAACAAACAACATAAAACAAAATTCCCACGTCTGTGCATGCATTAAGTGTATCATATTCGGCGACAATTGTCGGGAAGGTTGAACTTGGTTCAACTTTTCCGATTGCGTTGCAGACGCAGACGAATCAGGGTGGATGGCTAGCTGCCCTTCGCAATCGGGAAGGCACCCCGATTCGTCTGTGAACCACAACTGTCACGACTGTCGCCGATAGGGCGAGCGATTCTATGGAAACCGAGCTAAAACTCTAGATCCGCGCCTGAGATGTCCTTATTCTAAAAAAGGTCTATTCCCTCAGACCCAAGCATGGTGGTGGCAGTGAGGTGGACCCTCACACACCCCCTACGGCCAAATCCTGTATCCGCCCCAGTAAAATATGATTAATTTATACAACCATGATGATCTGTATCGACGTATAGGGACGTATAGTTCAGGCGCTTCGAGCCAGTAATGGGAGATGATAAAAAATTATTATTTATTTATTTATCAACTTTACACTTAGAACAACAGCTTGTTCCTTATAATGACTGTATTATACAAAAAATAGAAATATGAAAATAAAATGCATACAAATTTACAAACACTATATATTTATAACATTCTCATTTCATCATAGGCCTATATTATTTAAATTTATCGTTAAAGTCATTTCAAAATCTAAAATTGCAATCACTACTACATATATAGGCCTATATATATATAGGCCTATATATATTATATATACCAGGTTTGAGTGAAATTTGATAATGCAAAAAGATATGAAATTTAAAGATTAATATAGTCTGCCAAATAAAATACCCTGTTCCTGCTTAATTTAATCTTGTTTTAAACATAA